AACAACAACAACAACAACCCATCCCAAGAAAGGTGATCCAATAGAACATTGAAATTATCAAATCACATGCAATTAGAATTATAAAGAAGATTATTCAAAAATAATTGTAACAGTATGTCAACAAGGAACAGCCATAAATTTAAGCTGTATTCAGAAGAAGATATGGAATGAGGAATATTAATTCCTGACCACCTATGTATCTTGTCTACAGAAAATACCAATGTAACTTGGATTGAGAGGCATTCTGACAACCTAAAGATTACTAATGGGAGGGAGGAGAATCACCATTATCAGACCTATGAAGTAGAGGTCAGGCATGTCTCCACACTCCTAACTTATTTACCCTATTCTGACAACAATTATCCCTCTCACTGCTCTTGTCTGCTATATTCACAAATCCATTGTAATAGCCAAACAGAAGTCACACACAATACTTAGAAGTATGGGATTTATTGTGGAAGATAATGGGTGTAATTCAGGACAAGAAAGAACTCAAGGTTCTTTGGTATGAAGTTCTCAGAGCAGGAGTATCTGTTCTCAGTCTTGTCCACCGGCACACTTCACTCTGGTCCTCAGCCTCTCAACCTCGAGGTTCTGTTCAGGCAAGTGTTACAAGCCCCTTTGGCTGTGCAGATAAATACCCAAAGGGCACTCCATACCTACAATGAGCTTCCTATCCAAAGGCACTTAGCTTTACTCCATTCTTGGGTCTGGAGCTTGCTACTCTGTCTCGTGTGCCACTGCTGCCCCATCTGCTTCATCCTCTACTCAGGGATCTTGTGTTCTGATTGTTGCTAAACTTGACGGTTATAGGGTCCTCTGTTCTTGCTTCAGAGAATGCTCTATTTAAACCTTTTGATGTTGTTGTTAGATACCATCGAGTCAGTACTGACTCATAGTGACATTTTGCACAGCAGAACGAAACACTGCCCTATCCTGGACCAACCTCACTATTGTTGCCACGCTTGAGCCCATTGATGGCTGCCATTTTGCCAATCCATCTCGCTGGGGGATCTTCCTCTTCTTCTCTGACCCTCCACAAACATGATATCCTTCTCCAGCGACTAGTCCCTCCTGACAAGATGTCTGAAGTATGAGAGACAAAGTTTGACCATCCTCCCTCCAAGGAGCACTCTGGCTGCACTTCTTCCAACACAGACCTGTTTGTTCTTTTAGCAGCCCATGGCACTTGCAATATCCTCTTCCAACTCCATAACTCAAAAGCATCGATTTTTACTGTCTTCCTTATTCACTGTCCAGCTTTCTCATGCATATGAGGTTATTGAAAATTACCATGGCTTGGGTCAGGCGCACCTTAGTCCTCTAGCTAACATCTTTGTTCTTTAAAGCCCCCAAAAGTTCTTGTGCAGCAAATTTGCCTAATGCAATACATCATTTGATTTCTTGACCGCTGCTTCCATGAGTGTTGATAATTGATCCAAGAAGAATGAAGTCCTTGACAATTTCAATCTTTTCTTCATCCATAAGAATGTTGTTTATTGGTCCAGTGGTGAAGATTTGTGTTTTCTTGACATTGAGATGTAATCCATACCGAAGACTGTACTCTTTGGTCATCATCAGTAAATGTTTTAAGTCCTCTTCACTTTCAGCAAGCAAGATTGTATCATCTGCATATTGCAGGTTGTTAATGAATCTTCTGCCAATCCTGATGCCACAGTTTTCTTCATAGAACCCAGCTTCTTGGATGATTTGCTCAGCATACAGGTTGAATGAATATGGTGAGAGAATACAACCCTGTTGTAAACTTTCTTAATTTAAAACCATTCAGTGTTTCCATGTTCTGTTCAAACAATTTGGTCCAGGTACAGATTCCTCATGAGCACAATTTAGCACAATTAACTCATACTTCACAATGTCCATAGCTTGTCAAGATCCACACAATCTATAGCCTTTGCATAGTCAATAAAGCACAGGTAAACATCCTTC